CAAAATGGAATTTCATTCACGGCACTAGTGAAAACTATTATAAATTAAAAGAGCAGGTGCCCCCCACTTGGAGGCATATTTTTCAGGGCCAAAAAATCGTCTTATAGGCCGGCAAATACGGTATGATATGCAGGATGGTCTTAGGCGACCCCTGTAACAGGGTTGTTCGACCACCAAAGGGGTCGTGACTCACAGGTTGAGAACCACTGTTTTAAAGGAACAAACCAGAACTTCATAGAAGATATTTGTGGCATGTAGATTTAAAAAGAAGTATTTTAAATACATGAATTTGAAATGTGATATATGATGATCTTTATGTGTACGGAGTTTTTATGTTAATGACAGCTTTATTTGGTCTAATAAAATAACAACACATTTATTAATAAATATAAACACCAATCAAAAAATGATTTTTTAAAAAACTGTTTTTATTGATTTTTAGAGAGAGAGGAGTGGGGGTAGAGAGAGAGAAACAGGTGTTAGCTGTTTTCTGCACACCCCCTACTGGGGATTGAGCCTGAAACCAGGATATGTGCCCTGACTGGGGATGGAACTGGTAACCTTTTGGTGCATGGGACGACACCCAACCAACTGAGCCACACTGGCCAGGGAAAATAATTTTATTGTTGTTGTTGTTAATCCTCACCTGAGGATATTTTCCATTGATTTTTAGAGAGTGTAAGAGAGGAAGAAACAGAAATATTGATGTGAGAGTGACACATTGATTGGTTGTCTCGCGGCACATAACCTAACCATGACCGGGGATTGAGCCTGCAACCGAGGTGCATATCCTTGACCCGAATCAAACCTGGTTCCCTTCAGTCTGCGGGGCCCATGCTCTATCCACTGAGCAAACCAGCTAGAGTCAAAATGATTTTTTAAAAATATATTTTTTGCATATTTTTATTGAGTTCAGAAAGGAAGGGAGAGAAAGATAGAAACCTCAATGATGAGAAAGAATCATTGATAGACTGCCTCCTGCACAACCCCTACTGGGGATCAAGCCCACAACCTGGGCATGTGCCCTTGACTGGAAGCAAACTCAGGACCCTTTGTTCCACAGGCTGATGCCCTATCCACTGAGCCAAACCGGCTAGGGCCAAAATGACTTTTTTTTAAAGTGAGTTGGAAAGTAGGAAATTGACCTTGCCTGGGAGTAGCAGGTTAAAATTTAGTAAAAATGACTCATGGACTGCCTTTAAGCAGTCAATAATTTTCTGTATGGAGGAGAACAAATGCCAGGAGTAGTAAGATAGAGGGATCTGAGCTTAGTGTCAGAACCACCAATGTTTTTTCTATGCAATAAAGGATAGGTCTTTGGCTTTGCAAGAATCATAT